TTTTATTTCAATTATTAAACTTTTTATATCTCAACCCACGAGTTTTCTCACTTCTACCGTTCCAATTCTCTCCCCCATCCCACCGGAGGGGGGGAGTGAGCGACCAAACTGGCCAGAGGGACATTCCATACCATGTGAGGTCATGCTCAGTACATAAACTGGGGAAAGCTGGCCGGGGGGGCCGCTGCTCGGGGACTGGCTGGGCATCGGTCGGCGGGTGGTGAGCAATTGCACTGTGCATCACTTGCTTTGTATATTATTATTATTACATTATTATTATTGTTATCATTATTTTATTTCAATTATTAAACTGTTTTTATCTCAACCCACGAGTTTTCTCACTTCTACCGTTCCAATTCTCTCCCCCATCCCACCGGGGAGGGGGGGAGCAAGCGAGCGAGCAGCTGTGTGGTGCTCAGTTGCTGGCTGAGGTTAAACCACAACACATGCTAAAATGAGGATGTCCTGTTTTCCTCCACCTTCTCCTTTCCCCTCTCCTTTGCACTCCTCTGGCTCTTGGGGGGCTGATTCAAGTTACTAACCCTGCAGAAATCTAATCCAGCAAAAAAAAGGAAGAGGTTTCTGCTCAGTTACTGAGCTAAAATAGGCCCACCATATAGTCAGCTGAAGGGAGGAGGTGGACTGCATGGCCAGGAGGAGCAGCGGCCATGGGAAGAAAAGAAGGACTGGCAGAAAACCTTACTCTCATCATCAGGTTAATTTTCTTCAGATTTATGTTTCAACTCAGGGTCAGGCAAAGCCCAGAGCTGATGTGAGAGAGAGGGACGGGGAGACACCACGCGACTGCTGGTAGGGAGGGAGAGTAGGGATGTGGCCACTGGTAATTAGTTTGGCCTAAGCTGTCTTGGAAATCCAGGTTTAGCTCCTTGGTGGTGCCCAGAGAGCTCTTCTCCCCAGAGACCATGGTCTCGGGCTGCGGAGGGAACCAGAGAGTCAGGTGGCAGAATCCAGGTTGCCCTGGCTGCAAGACAAACGGCAGTTCGTTCTGGCACACGGAACAAAAATGTAGCGGTTTGGTTTGGAAATTAATAGTTACTTAATAGAAAGACAGCAAATAAATATTCTCGAAGGGTTGTGATGTATATGAATTTCATATTTCTACAAATCATGCAGCATTTCTCTTTTGTTGGTGAATTGGCGCTTTCCAAATAGGTAAATCAGGCGGTGATGTTGCTAAAACATAAAAGGCGAAGACTTTCAAGAGTGGATGTTTAAAGTCAGGGATGAAAGGCCACACTTAAGTGCCTAAATGGGTGTGTAGTTTTCAGAAGTACTCAACACCAGCAGTTATCATCAATGGAAGCTGCTCTGAGTCTTGAGCCTCTGAAAATAGGGCATTGGGTAGGTGCTAGGACATTGGGCTTAACATACATTTTTAAGCACTTGGTCTAGATGTTCAGCTCACTATTTGATTGAATGAAAACGCTTAGAAAGCAGCACTAAGTTCCATTAGCCTGTTACGAAATAACTGATACATTTACTTAAATTTGAAACGATTAATTAAAAATATTTAATGAAATAATTTTAAGGAACAAGCAGAACCATTCCAGTCTCAACTTCACCACTCTGTTGACCTTCTCAAGCATTCGAAGCTGAACTACCTTAACAGATGTTGCGATAGAAGATTCCTATTAGGTGTTTGACGTTGCAAGAGGAAGCCATGATTTCCATTCCTTGGGAATGGGATGTCAGCCTGAAATCGCTTGTACTGCTTAGCACTAAGAAACATTTCATTTTGCCACCATATAACTCTTAAGAAAACGGTTATGTTCTGGAGGGGAATACAGACAAGTGCAACAGTAACGTGCTTCATATTTGCCATTCACTGCTTTTTCCAGTGTTGCTCAGCTAGCGGGCTTTAGAGGTGGGATGATCCCCAACGCAATCCCCAGCTGGGGAAATCTGGGATCCAGTTCTTAAGATAAACCCCTCCTCCCCCAAAGAGGACCTTAAGTTGGGATAAAAACTTCCAATCCTGGTTCTTTCTGAAGCAGCCTGTAATTTCCAGTTCTTCTCTCTCTCTCCTTGGAATATCAGCTAAGATCTGCTTTGGTAACGGAGTCCTGTCACATACCTCGTCACGTAAAGAGGCCTTTGGAAATAACACTTCACACAAGGGTGACCCAGCCAAGTTTGCCACATGTTGGACTGTAAACAAACATATGGCAGAGATATGTCTTTTTCAAGGAGACAAGCATGGGGGGGGGAACTGAATCATCTTCGAGTTTATATACATACATTTCACACACGTAAAGCTTCAGTGATCTGGAGTTACTCACTGTACATACGATGAGGAAGAAAGAAGTCAACTCACTGCTGTCTCTGGAGAGACAAACCTGGGGCTGGCTGTAGATCAGCAAATCTCAGACCCGGCTTCCTTTATGTGGGGGATCGTTTACTGACTGTTTGTGATATACAAAAATTTGTGATGATATCATATTCAATCGTACCCTCTAAAGAGGTGGAAATCATACTCAGTGGTGTGGTCCTGAGTGTATAACTTTTGAACTGAAAGCCTGAGATCCCCTTACAGACCCTGGAGAGCTAACGCCTCGTCAAGGCAATCAGCAGGGCCTCCAGAGCTGTTCAGCAGAGCAAGGGCGTCTGCTTTACCGCGACTTGGATAGCCCTTGAAACAATATGGACTTTATTGACAAGATCGCCATGGCCTATAACGGGATCTTGAACACCTAGATTTTATCTGCCACCTCCAAGAAGAGATTAAAATTTAGGTATGTTAATGTGCGAGCTGAAAGCCACTGCAGCTGTTGATGCTACAATATACTTCAGTGACACTTCTGCTTTTCTTTACCATGCTTTATTGGGGGAACTTACTGCAAAGCAAAGCTAAGGAGGAGCTTGTAGCTGATGGTGAGAGCCAAAAATAAATGCAAATGCAAAATGTGGGGACCCAGCATTTTGTTCTGAGGACTCTGTTCTCACTGAAGGTGATAGTAGGCAGATAAAACTCTGTTACCTGCAGAAATTTCCGTCTGCCTCTGGCAGGGTCAGAGAAGCCACGGGATTCTTCAGGAGATCTGCCACAGCGTTATCCTTCGGTGTCACGTAAAAGAAAGGGATTCCAGTGCTGTTATCGACGGGACCGTCGCTGAGAAGTAAACAGTTCCCATAGGGCATACCTTGGATCTGCAAAATCCAGATAAGCAGCTGGTTACATCTTTGCACATAGACGGTTTACAATGTCGGGGATTCCCTCAAGGGCTCCAGCAGAGAGGACAGCAACCCCCAGTTGCTCGGTCTCCTTTCTGTTGTCATCATGAGACAGACCTTCTTCTAAATTAGATCTATCATGCTTCTATGAAAACAGACCTCTCCTCTATTTCTTCTTTCCAGTCCTGTCCATAAGACTATAGAGGACATTTTCTCTTCCACCAAATTAAAAATGTTTAAGTGCATTAAAATCAATGCCATCAGTGTCAAGAAATGTTTACTCCAAAACAGTGCTGATACCTCTTCTCAAACCCGAATGGATACAGAGCCCAGTTTAGCCTTGATTCAACCTGCTTTTTATGCTAATTTTGCCTCCCCTTTTGGCCTTGATTTGCAATGTGATTGCATCGGTTTGCCAAGAGAGAGGGGAAGGCGTTTTGGCTAGAGTTGTGTTTAAAGTCAAGCTGGACATCAGCTCAGCTGCCTGGGCAGGAACCACAGCTATGGGGGGGGGGGGTGGTGTGTCCCAACCACCAAGCCAGCCAGAGCAAACCTTCCTCCCATGTCAGAGGAGGGACGCGAGGGAGCCAAGTTTTCAAAAAGTTTTCTCCCATCCACTGACACACAGTGGATATAACGCACGCAAAAATGTCCTTGCCCAGTATTGACACACATTAATATTCCCCATAATGATTTATACTCCTACTGTGCTTTTCATCCCATTATAAATTGCCATGACAGATACTTAATGAATTACTATTTTTTCATGTCTTCAGATATTTCTTCCCTCATGCTCAATTAGATGTTAAATAGTAAATTTATCAGTCAATACATTAATTCAATGTAACTGGTAAATCCTTTACAGCAAAATCAAGTATGAATAGTTAATTAGAAAACTCTGGATGATGTTATTACCTGGATTGCATGCTTTCTGATTTTTAATGTTTATATGCCTCTAAAATTTAGTGTGCTTATAGTGCTTATAAATGGTCCTTGTTAGCATTCCTTAGAAGGAATGCTTTAATGAAGCTACATAACTTAGAAACTAAAAATACTTGCTTATTATTAAGAGTTACAATGTAAAAAAAAAAGTAGCTGTCAGTAATATTGCAGGACATGTTTCCAGTGTGTAAAATGCTCAGTCTGTCATGCATGGTTAATGTTACAGTGGATTCTCAAAAAGAATTGGGATCACAGGCAGCGTAACTCACCACTCACAGCAGCAACACCCCCCTCATCAATTCCAAATTTTATTACGAATCGGACTTTTCTGTATTACTTCTGTGTTGTAACTAGAGACAGTTAACTGCAGGCTATATTGTGGCTGCAATTCCACCGAGGGTTTCTGGCGAGACCATAAACCAGAAGAGTTAAGATCATACGATTTAACAGGATTTCTGACAAACTTAGGTAGAATTACAGGCCTCTTGTGTGTACGTATATATTTATTTAACGGTATCTTTTTTTAACTTGTTGCTTTGTATTTCACAGTAACATAAACTGCCACTAACTTGGCCAAGCTTTCTGAAGATTAATGTGCTTCTAACTTTGTCTATTTTTTAAATTGTACATTAATCAATCTGTGAATACTTTCAAGAAAAAGTTACAGCTGCTTTTTTTTTTTCCCCTGAGTGGTATTGGACGCCGTGTCTGATTCCAACCTTTCATTTTAGAAAGGGAAATATTTTAATGCTGGAAAAAAATAATGACCCCGATTCTCCGGCGCAGCTATGCGATTTTGCTCAA